TAAATCCAGTGTTCTGCCACCTCTAATAGACATTTTTTTTTAAACAGCTATTTAACTTGACTGGAAATGCAATTAATTAATATTATAAAAATAAAATTAATATTTTATTCTGTGCTAAGGTTACACATTTTTCTAGTAAAATAAAAGTACACTAATATAGATAATAATGCCCCAGAATCAGCCCGGTGCATAAAAATATATATATAAAAAATGTGTTTGTGAATGAGCTGTCACCAAATCAGTCAAAGTGTATAAATAAAAAAACATCAAAATGTAATATAATTATTAGCAAAATTACGATATAATTAGTCAATATTGCACAACCCTAATATAGATTATATATATTTTTTTATTTATTTATTTGGGTTTTAAAGAATTACAATGATATTTCACCCACATATTTCACAATGAAAATAACCTCAATTAAAAATATAAGTATATTATATTTATATTATATTTATACTAATGTTAAAAATATACGTTTTTATTTTTCTTCTTTTGTTAAACATTAAAGAAGATATTTAGAAAAATGATGATTGCTGGCACCCATCGACTTGTAGAAAAAAAAAGGCAATGGAAGTCAATGGGTGCCAGCTACCACCATTTCTCAAAATATCTTCCTTTGTGTTCAACAGAATAAAGTTTTGAACAAGTGAAGGATGAGTAAATAATGACAGAATTTTCATTTTACGGTGAATTATCTCTTTAAATAGAATGAAACTTGATTAAAAACTGAAAAGAAAAGTGCACAAGGCCTGTTTTTTTTCCCCCATCTCAGATCTGACTGACCTTTTATAAACCCCACCCGGCTATGTTTACCGCTCCCAGCCTAGTCGATACTCACCGCCAACAAGAAAGTTGTGTATATTTGGATATGCAAGGACACGACATGACTGTAAAACCTCTGCAGGTCTCCAGGGAGGTCTTTGTCCTTACTGCGATTATGCACGCGTTATTCCTGTCCCCCTGAATAAAGTGTTCCCGTCCAGACCAGACTTGTTCGTTCTCAAGAGCCCCTTTTCGTTGTCCAGTGTCATACGATCTCTCATTTTCTGCCTCGGGTAATAACAAATGGCACAGTGCTGAAACCCCTGGCATTATTGCTTATGGATTGCTTTAGCCTATGGGAACATAAATTGTACAGTAAATTATTAGGAGACGGTTTTGGAATTCCTTCATCCTCACTGTCGTTCTCTAGCACATTATGTTCTTAATAGCAGATCATATTGTTCTTCTTGTAACTTAAACCACCATCCATCTGGTGCTGATGGCTTATGTCCACATGTATTTGGCCGAGTACAGAATGTGTACACCAAAAAAAGGAGGGAAAAAATCCTATTAAAGTTTATACAATATCAGATCACACGAGGAAACTTGACTTTTTAAGTTTTGCCAGTTTATTGGCTAATTTATTCGGATTCATATGAAAATTCATATAAAAATTTATGAATGAGATCATACAAATTAGCCACTTAATCATAAAGTTAAGAATTGGTGTAAGATAACATTTGATGCACCCATACTAACTTTTTAGAAATTTTATTTATATATGTATATTTTATATATATATGTATATATATTGTGTGCATAAAAGTCCGTATATCGATGCAGTTTATTGCACAATATTCCAATATTTAGATTAGTTATCAAAAAACTTCAAAAAGTTATGCATTTTAAGCATTAGTTTACAAAAAAATGGTAAAAATTCAAAGTTTACTGAAAGATTTTGAAAAGTCAATGTTTTTTTGAATAACACAATGAGAGGAAAAAAATAACTTTTTTTTTTTTTTTTTTTGCTGTGCAGTTGCATAACAATAGTTAATGCTACCCCAGTTAATGTTGTCTCCACATTCCCTCCAATATTTTTTAGCGATCTATGAGTTTCTAGTACTCATTTATTCATTTAATCATGGTAAATGCAAAGAGAATTAAGGCTCTTGCTTTTGCACTTCTTTATTTTGGATACTGCGAGAACAGTTTCTTTCCCATTGTGCACGTCAGAACTGAAAATCCGGTGCAACTGCCGCAAGGAGGTGTATTCCAAATGTCCAAATGTCATGTGCAGTGGAAAGGCGGCTATAGAGGTACCGTCCATACAACGTTGAGATGTAACATGATTAGACGTTGATATTTGGTTGATTTTAGGTTGGACTTTGACGTCGGCCTGACATTGGATTCTAACGTCAACCTGATTTTGCATTTCAAAACAAAATCCAACGTTCCTCCCATGTTGGTGTCCTGTGCCTGCAGGGATCATTTCCAATAATCAACCATAGTCTCTCTCCTTTCACCCCAATAAATAATTTAAAATAAACTAACATATACATATAAATACACACACACTCACACACACACACGCACA